TTATAATGTATACTTGGAGTTATTCAATGTGGATCTTGGTCTTAACTACACTGAGCATGTGATGTGTCTTTTGTTTAAGGAACATAGCTTTGTGAAATATTAATAAAAGAAAAGAAATGAAGAGAATTTTGTATATCTTTTATTGTGGATAATTTTAACTTTTTACTTTACCTGATGTTATGAATGGTTATTGGAAACTGCAAAAATTTTTAGTGAATTTATATTTCCTTCCAAGAATTATTAGAGTTTTTTTTATCCATACCATTGACTTCTTTCTTTCTTTCTTTCACCATTGACTAGATCACAAGGCAAACATAAGGTGAAGACAACCAATATATAAAAGAGAAGGAAAGTTGTAGAGTACTTACAAAGAGATAACTTATTAACTATACCCCTGTACTGTACTATGTTATGGTGAATTACTTAATGTGTCCCAAAGTGTGGTGACTGTTTGTGAACACTTGTATTAGGGCATTTTTATAATGAAAGGATTTTTCTCCCAGTGGAATATATAATTTGTAATGTATACAAAGAACGTTGGAAAAGTCTACTCAAGTGGCAGTTTCTTTTAATGTGAATGCTGTGAACCTTTTGTAAATAAACCCCTGTGCTATTCTCATGTCTTATTATGCCTAAAATTAATGTGGAATAAAACTTTTTTTTTTTACCCCTCTTTTTATTACAGTGCCATTAGATTTACAGTTACTGAACATGGTAGTCTGAGGTGTGTGTGTCTACCTGTAAGGGATTGAATTTGTTGGGGGGAATTTTGTAACAAGTATCCAAATTTGGCATCATAAAAATTTGTTAATTTGAAACTGGTCATTTCTTGTAACCTATAATTCATTAATGACTTTGATAACTTTGGGAAGGAAGCTTGTACCTGTATGGGAAAATTGATCTTAGACATCCATCTTAGAGAACCCCGACAATTGAGTAATGTAATGAATTTGTTAGTGTATATGGGGAATTTTTAGCTAGGCGGCTGTCATCACTGAACTCACCGATTCTTAGGGTATATACAATTTTCTACACTCCAAGTAGACAGCTGGGGGTTGGAAGTAATGGTTACCATTTAGAGAAAGGCATTAGGTCTTCTTAAGAGCCCAGTTCCCTAGTCAATACCGCATGCCATTGTTAATGATCACCATCTTTTATTGTTAGGCCACTCCACCATTTTGCTCCTTCAAGGTTGAATATTTGTGCCAGTTTAGGTGACATCTCAGAGCCTTCAAAGTACATAGAGTGTGTCCTCCAGCCACAAGGCCTTCTCTTCTCACCTTCATGGTGATGGTCTTTAGTTCATCCCAAAAGTACTCTTTGATAGTTGCAGTAGCATGGAGGAGGATGGGCCTGAACTCTGAACAGATGACTGGTTAGATCTGTCAGTACTGTAGTTTCAAGCAACTGAGATGTATCTGCCTCAGACGGTATACTGTACTTAAAATGTTATCATACCCTAATCCATTGATTGAATTAAAGAAATGCTGTCAAGTGGTATAAACATGACTTAAATCTTGGGATGCAGGTTAGTATGGTGCAGAGGGTGACTTGGGGCATTAATAAGGAGGAAAACTGGCTGGTCTTGAAACTTGTTAAAGTCTGCAGTAGTGCTTCACCTCCACACAAAACATTAAAAAAAAGTTTTGCTATAATTTAGGTTTTTTCATTGGCTCATTAGTGAAGAGATAGGGTGTGGTTGGTTTAGACCCTTAAAAGCCTAGAGATTCTAGGAGTGGTACGTAAGACATTACTCACAATGAAATTTGAGTGCGTTCTAGTGGCGTCCTTGCAGCATGCAGCGCATACAATTTTTTGTTTCAGTATGTGGGGGAAAATAAAAATGCAATGCATAAATGTGGATGTACAAACTTCAGCTCAATCTAAATGAAATTTGGATGGTAAAAATTAAAGAGCATCACCTTTGAAGACAAGATAACTAATAATTAGAATTGATCATTGCATCACAAAAGATATGAACATATTCCAAAACTGATAAAGGAGTCACCTCAGTTTTGACCTTGAAACTGGCAATGCATATAATGTATCTAATTCTACAACTTCAGACTTTACAGTAGACTCAGGGCTTTGATATAAGCACCCTTTAGGGGGAGTGAATCAGGAGAGAGAATTACAACACATGAAGCATCATTGTCAAAATAGACAAGAGAGAAGGAAGGGAATTTAAAGTGGAAACATCTTGTTCTAAATGGGACATTATATTTGAAAGGCACTTTGACTTTGGAGGTTAAGGCTTCCTTCAATTGTTGATGAGTTTGAATTCCAATAAGGATGGAAATGTACACACTGAGAAGTAATGTGCTACAGTAGTTAAGATGTGCACCTAAAGTATACCTGTGAAGTATTGGCAGTGGACAGGCTCCACCTAGTACAATAAATATGTAAGGTTTTTACTACAGGGTACAAAGATGAAAATAATACTTACCAAGAGATGTTGGCATCAAAACAAAGTTGTCACTCACTTCCCAACAGTTAGTTGCATACCATATTATTTTCTTGCTAATTGGCACATCAGTTTCCTTTCCTTAAGTACAGACGCTGAATAACTTTAAGTGAAGCATTGTACACACAGAAAATATAAGCAGGTGCAAATGTGAAAGTGCATCCCAAAGGTTCACTGTACAGTAAACAGTAGCCATCAAACTGAGGCTTGTGGTGGCTTGGTGGGAGCACAAACAGTTGCCAAGTTGGTGATTCTGTCTCCAAATTGGTGACCTACTGTTTATGCTGAGTATCATGAAAAATTTATTCGTATTTTCATGAAATCATCAGTTTCTCAAAATTTACTGGAATAGTTTTTATGAATTTGGTGATTTATTTGGCTAATTCTAGTTTGGTTTAGCTTCTCTCCACATTTCTCTCATGGTTAATATTTTGACAGGAAAAGGTCATTAAACCGAAAGGTACAAGAATTCATGAGGGGTGGACACAGGTGAAAGATACTACTGTACTGTTGTTAGTCACTGAGTAGCTTCACACTGCTGGTGGAGTTTGTTGTGTTAGGTGTGAGTGGAGTGTGTTATGGTATGTATGTGTATGCCTCTATCCATCAGTAATTGGGAACCTGGATGTTATTCAATTTGCAGATCATATTTTGGAGTAATGTTTAGCCAGTGCAGTTGGCAAGTTGTCTAGTCTTCTTGGATTGTTCCTTGACACTGAGTCATGCTGCTTGTTAATTCGGTGTGTGGGTGTTGGTGACAGTTTCTATACCTTGAACAAATTCACACCTAGGTGGGACTAGAGCCGGCCATCTTGGAACATGAGGGGTAACCATTATGTGAGTCTGGGGTAATGTATAATAAGAGTGTGGGATGGGGTGTGCCTCCTTGACTTATCTTGCCCACCTATGTACTGTAGTATTAATTGTCACATACAGTACTCAGGTTACTCAGGACTGTAACTATGTATATGTAAAATCTGGAATTATACTAAGTGTAGTTACATCTATTGAGCAAATACTCACTCACTCACACACAGAGGGTTTGCAAGACTTGCCCCTTTCCAGCAACTAAAAAGTATGAATGCCTCATAGTTAACTTGTTTGTTAATTTTTTTCTTTTCATTTTTTCCTGAAAGCTTTACTTAAGTGACTCACTTCCCAGTGTCACTATAGGTTATTTTATATTCAATACAGTATATACTGTATCCCCTTTGTATATTTTAAATTTTGGGCTGCTGCATTTTTTAAGTAAACCTATTATTATTATTATTATTATTATTATTATTATTATTATTATTATTCCCCTGTATTATTATTATTATTATTACTACTACAGTATTATTGCACACACACACACACACACACACACACACACTTCAGCATAAGTGGACCCAGTTCTCTATATCCTTATACGCTTCTGTAAGGCGGGTAAGGCGGTGTTGATGGCATTGTGCTGCCTCACATCTTAACACTCAAAACGTACAGAAAAAAAGTTGTGTTTGCCATGTGGCTACTGGTGTCAGCAGTCACCAACTGTTAACGGTACAGTATCGTTAATTTATCAATCGGTAATTGAGAAATTAACTAAAGGGATAGAAAATAATGAGCCTGTAAGGGGGTGGGTATACTAGTTTTAGATGCAGGAAATTATATCATGTATTTGAAATACACTACTGTAGTTGATTAATGACAAAATGGGAATTTTAAATTCCACATCGATAGGTTTAATAATAATAAATAATAATTAATGGTTTATTGAAAAAGTTCTGCAGCCCGAAGGCTGAAAATATACATTGGACATAAATGACTTATTACATACATTGGTGGTTTAACAAAAGCCTTCATTAGAGAAAGGTAAAGGAACATACAGATTAATGTTTACAGTGGGAGGATATACAGTAATAGAAATCACGGAGTGATGCTGTGTTCTGGTGGGTTAAAATAATGTCGTTTAGTTATGGGATTCTTTATTTCATACACGCATGTGTGAAACTTTTCCTGGGAATGAGATAGTAAGATATCAGTTTTTATTTTATGTATTGCAGTTATAATTAATTGTTGTTGAACTTTCACAATACTCAGTATATCAGATTAACTTTTATCAGAGCTTCATCGGTACAGTACTTGTTTTGTTATTACACAAATTGCTATGCATGTTATGCATGTTTCATTTGCATTTATATGTACATTTTAAGCATAACTATGTACAGTTTATCAAGCTGAGTAATAGTCTAAATAAAAACTTAAAGTGTGTCTAGGGTTATGGAAATTTAGCTGTAGCATGGATATTTTGTTGGGAGAGGGGTTGACTAAGGGTGGCGTGTCTTGTTCTAGGCACGGTGGCATCGTCGGGAGCTGGTGTGTGGGCTGTGTGGACGCATCTTCCACGGGTCAATGGACCTGACACGTCACATCCGTACGCATACTGGGGAAAGACCCTTCCAGTGTCCACATTGTCCTTATCGTGCTGCACACAAAAGCAATGTGCAGAGGCATGTCCGCACAAGACACCTCCAAAGCTTTACTCCATATCTTACCCCCCTTGAACCGCCATTGTAATGTGAATGAAAAGAAAATTATATAAATAATTTTTTTAGGAAAATTATGACTTCTTGAAAAATGGCAATATTAAAGATTATTATCTTAACAGAAGAAAAATGAAAAACCATTTAGAGGTGAGGAAAATAATAGTGATAATATTTTGAATTTATGGCGTGAGTGATGGTGGAGGTGAGGGTGATCTGCGTATTGGTATGAGGCATTGGTTGACAGGCGGGTTGTCTGTTGCAGTGCGGGCCAGGGACGTTGACGGCGACTGCAGTGGAGACGACCCGATTGATGAGTTGCGCCCCTTCTATGTGGTCAACTAGGGATGTGGTTGCTGGCCCCTCTACAGGGTGGACCATGGGCCAGGGCCGTACTGCCGGCGCCATTGTTGCAGAGCGTCAATACCCATGTATCTACTGCCACTACAGTTCCCGCTCGCGTGTCGACCTGGACAAGCATATTAGGACACATACTGGCGAGAAGCCCTTTAAGTGTCCTTTCTGTGTCTACATGTCTGGTGACAAGAGTAACTTTCGTAGACATCTATTAGGTGTCCACAAGGTTAAATACAATGACCTTAATCCTTTAATAACACAGCCTTCCAGTCTGGCCTCCCAGGCTTCATCACAACTCCCCAAACTTTCCTCTCAATCTTTACCAACACATCTTTCAAAACTGTCCCCACAGTTATCAAAGGTGTCCCCAACATCCTCCTCACAACTCTCCACTCACTCCCAATTAGCTTTGTCATCACAGACCTCCAGTGCTTCCCAGTCACATCCTAATGAGGCATCCTATCCTCCTCAAACCACAGATTGTCTTGTATCTTCCGACACTGAATCCTCGCACACATCCTGAATAGATTTTACGATGCACCATATAAACAAAATCTTGTTACCAGCATTACCAGCAGGGAACATCAATCTGAATGGCACATGTGCTTCCTAAGGTTCCCTCAGGATATGTGATGACTGCCACACCATTCTCCACCAGAAAGGATTCCACAAAGAGAAAGATATTGTGGAGATGTGTGTGATCCATGGGTATTCGTGGGCAGTTGGTTGAGGGATTGCAGTGCTGATGTAGTGGTTTCCTTGCAGCCGCGTGGTGGCCTGGCGGCAGTGATGGCAGCTGTTCGACGGGGCAGCACACTCCAGGCTGGCTCTGTGGGGCTGGCCGATCGCGAAGCCTCCTGTATGGGCCGAATAAGAGATGTTGATGGCAGACCAATAGAGGGTGGCATAAAGCCTTTTGTATGTGGCTGGTGTCCTTATCGGGCCCTACGCCGAGGGGACATGAAGAAGCATCTTCGTACTCATACCGGAGAGAAGCCTTACTTATGCCCATCCTGCGCCTTCCGCTCAGCAGACTCAAGTGCCCTCCATCGTCACATTCGTGCTAGGCATCCACACCATCAAGTACAACACCATCAGCCACAACAATATGAAGGTCCTGCACCTCTCTTATAATAACAATGACATGATTGCCATCGCTGTGGTCAGCACCAGTAATGTTGAGTGAACTGTGTTCAATTTGAACACCAATTCCCAGAAACTTTGAGAAACTGTTATTACATATATTTTATATGAGTTTAGTGTTTACACTTAATTAGTTTTGGAGAGATTCTGATTTTTAGGAGATTATATATAAGGGATGTAATTTGCTTTTTTGAATGCTACATATATCTTTCAAAAACTTATATTTTAGATATGAAAACATAGCAGATATTATAATCTCTAATATAGCTTGACACTTGACTGAGGCAGCTTATGTATAGTCAGACAAGTCTACAGGATGAAAACTCAGAGCTCCCAGGATCCCAAGTAGTACCTGCCGTTAATCTGAAAGCTAGTTTTTGTTTACCTGTTATACCCAGTCCTTTAAAAAAGGGGCCCTGATGGGTGTGAAAGTTAGCCGTGACAGCTGTCAGCCGTAGCTGCAACTCCAGCATGTGTTCTCTATGATCCTTATACTGTACAGTATATTGTGACTCAGCTACAGAGTGTCATAATGAGGTCAAACCCACCAGTTGTAGTCAGTTGAAATAAAAGATCAGATGTTCCCTGCTTATTTCCACCCCTGTTGGAAGTTAAGTGTTGTCCCCTTTAATAATTTTAGTACTTCTCTGGTTTAGACTGGGCCATACAGTGTTTGTAATGGTAGGAGTCTCTCGTGTTATTAGGTTGCTTACTTTTACAGTACTTAATGGGGGCATATAGCCTTAGTTGCTGACACCTTCCAAAAATCAATACCAATAACATTGGCTTAATGACTCCCGTTTGAAAAGTTGGCAAGATGGCATGCCAGACCTCAACCCAGTCCAATGTTAAAGTGTGTGGTGCTTAGTTCAGCCTATCTTATGGTAGAAATTTTCCAGAAAGGATATTTTGGTGTGATTCTGGATGGAATGTCAGAAAATTTTGAATATGAATGTCTGTTTTGGGGCACATTATCTTGCCTCTTAAGATTAGTCAGCTCTGTACATCATATCTACTTTTGATAGTTTTCTCTGTGCTCTTTTGTGTTTAACATTGGGGCACAGATATCCTTCAGGAGAGCTAAAATTCAGCTCATTGACCCGTTCCCCGTTAATTTTGAACTACCCCCTCACCCAACAGTGACCATCTTGCTCCAAGGTAACACACCATGGAAGAGATTAATAGATGATTCTCCATAATATTGTAACTGCTCACATTGTATCACAACAAACAAATATCTTGTTTTCTCCTGCAATGTAAGATTCCAGTTATGATTTAACGTACATTTGGTTGATGTGTTTTTAGCTTACTAATGTATGAATAGGATTGACTATGGGGACAACATATTTAAAGGTGTTTTCAGTGAGGCACCAGTGTAAGGTCTGTGAGCAGTTCTCTGCACCTGATGTAATAATGACAAATACTGTACTGTACTGTACTCCATTCACTGTGGTTGTTGCCTTTTGAACAGCTTTGACTTTGTGAATTTGGAGCCTTTGGTAAAATGTTTTATTATATTTTATGTAGTTGTCCTCAGTCCTCTGCCAGTGGTAGTTTTCTAAATATAACTGAACCCTTACTTAATGACACTTAGCTCTGTTGGATAAAATTATCCTGGTCTATGGTGGGAGTGGGGTTTTTCATACCACTTGAGAGTCTCAAGCATATTGTCAACAAACTTCCTGATGCTTTGGTTCTTGGTCAGGACTCATTTAGAACCTTTGAGATGAAGGAACATTGAGCTCTTGACCACTATCCTGGTACAGTACCTCCTCTTGAAGTTATTTTAATATTACTGTTCTGTCAGTATTATAGAGTGGGTAGTTATTAAACTACATCACTGAATCATGTTAAAAAATTTAATATAGGTAACGCTATAAGAGTGGAGGCTTTTGTCCATTTTAGAGTAGATAAGTTATGGCTGAGTGTTCCACTGTATAATAATGTGAGAATATTTAAATATACTGTACTGTACATGTCAGGGGCTCAACCATATAATTGACTCTGGAAGACAATCATCACATCATCAGGGGACAGCTCCACTGTCTGTGGACAGCATTCTTAGAGATCCACAGGTTAAGTTGTTTCAGGGTTTGGTGTAAAGAGAAACAGGTTTGGTTATGTTGGTTTGTACAGTGCTCTTACCTCAGGGAGACAATTCTCTTTAAGTTTCATTCTCAGCATAAAGGAGTTTTATTTCTTTCTGCCATTCTTTGTCATGGATTAGTCTCAGGCCGAGTCTGGGGTTACTTTCTAAGAACCAGACTCCTGGTTTTCAGACATCTATTTCCAAACCTGGAAAATTTTGGATGATTCTCATCATCCACTCTCCAATGATAACATTTCATTCTTATATACAGGTGACAGATAACTTCAATCAATTCCTTGAAATTAAATTGTTGATCTTGATTGTGGTGTTACCAGAGCCTCTATCTCTTGTACATATGGTAATCAAGGTTATGAAACCCCTCCACCTGGTTGCACTCCAAGGGATCATGATCTGTGGGTATTGTGTCTTCTCTGGTCTTTGGTCAGAGAGGCCTGGGGGATATTGGCTAGTAACTTTATTACCCAATATCTAGATGAATAAACTGCTCTTTTGGACTGTGCGACTCTGGGCAATTTATGTGGTTACGTCCTTTCCAACTACTTTCGGTAAATTGTTCCTATTTGGAGCATGTTGCTCCTACACTTGGAGTTTATTATTGCCTTCCTCCCCTCTTTCTAGCTGGCTTTATATACAAGAGTTGTCCAACCCAGGCATCAGGCTATAAATGAGGGACTGATTTTGAAATTCCATTTTATAGCCAAGCCTGGGTTAGACAGCTCAGGATCCCTTCTTACTTCCAACAGAGGCAGCGGAGATGAGCTGTAAGTGGTGAGGTTGTCCAGGAAATGGTAGAGCACATAGGAGAGGGTGACAAAAACTTGAAGTCTAAAGCCTTTTGTGGTAATTTTTGTTCCTGTCAGATCTTTAATAGAAATACAAATGTCAAAGGAATTTTTAAACTAATTTTTAGATTAATTCCAGAAACTGGGAATTCTGGGTTTTGAGCCAGTAAACTTGTCTGACTATGTGAGCTGCACGGTAAAAGCTCGGCAAAAATGGGGTTTCCAAACCAGTCACACGTATCTTTGTTGTTGGTCTTTACTTCACAGTGGGATTTTATTTAATAAGGTACTGAGTATCCATAAGCCTGATATTATGAATTATATCATCCAGATGAAATGCATTACTGTGGGTAGAATTTTTCCCACATCTATTAATGACATAAGTTACTCACATGCTTTGTAAAATACTTGCTGCATAATTTTCTTTTATATTTAGTTGAACCAAAGATAAGTTATGAAATTTGATTTATTTTTATTTTGTTTTCCACCCAATGTGATTTGTGTAGGGATTTATTCATTCATGATTATATATGGATAAACTCTCCTACACTTACAATGAAAGTGGTCAAACAACATAGGGTTGCCTTATAGAAATATACCCTCTTCTGTAACCACCAGTGCAGGATGAACACCACCATGCATTCATTCACCTTACTTGATAATAATATTTTAATGGAATGGAGTTGTTGTTAATAAAATTGAACCATGGAATTGGGTGTTTCCATTTCTCCAGAACCTTCATGTTGGTGTCCTACCCTAACCAATAATATCCGGTGGTGCTGTACTGTAGTGTTTCATGGTTAAGGATGCTAATAGGGTCTTCATTCAGTCTGTTTATGGGTATAATTTCTTTTTTTTATATATATAACAATGTCAAGAAGCTACATTTGTATACTGTATTTTTCTTCTCTTTCTTCTCTTTGCGTTTTATACTTCAGGTATATTATATATTTGTTAAGTTTGCCATCACAATTTTTTTTCCCCAATGCCTGTACCATTTCATCCATTTTTCTGAGTTTTAAATTTCACTTGATCCACCATATGTCGAAGTGGGAAGGGAGGGGGAAATGTGATAGATAGATAAAGATAATAGTCAATAAAGCTGCATAGTATGATAGATAGATAAAGATAATAGTCAATAAAGCTGCATAGTATTTATTAAAGGATAGGTCACACAGACTAGAGAAGGAGACAATAACTGAGGCTGATTTAAGTCGGTTGTTGCCGGTCGTATGTATAAGGAGAGCCACCAACAATGAAACTCTTTGGGTGTAGTAAAAAAAAATTGAGAATGTGGAATTACCTGCAGTCTATACCTGTTTTGTGACACCCTTATACTCTCTCTTGATCCATCCCACACTGAAGCAGGAGAATATTGAGTGAACATAATAAGATTTTAGAATAAATACTGTACTGTCTATAGTGTCCCTCATATCTTTATTACTGAATTACAAAATGGTTGGATGCAGTAATGTGTGTGTGTGTGTGTGTGTAAATAATAATACTGCAATAATAATAAACGGTTTATTAATAGAGTTGCAGCCGGTGGCTGAAAATATACAAACTTACATGTGATTTAGACATAATGATATGCGTTCAATATATTTACAGGGCTGTACAGTACAGCCATTGTGTGTGTGTGTGTGTGCTTGCGTGCATGCATGGATATCTTTCACATGTATCTGTATACTGTAATTACTGTTAATGTCAGGACACATTAATTGGCTAACTGGCCAGTCTGACAAAGCTAGCACCCCCCTGCCCCCCCCTTTTTTTTCCCCCATGAGGCCCCAAGACATTTCTACAGCCTTAAAGTATGAAATTTAGTTTTTGTGTTCAGTAGTGAGAAACCTGCCTCTGCAAATTTAAGCCTGATTAAATATGCTTTGCCCTCAGAACTTGGATCCACTCGAAATTTGAAAAATTTGTAAAACCATTTCTAGTCATTTCAACTACAGTGCGCTTATTTTGTCATGCATTAGTAAAGATGGTCCTAGAAATGAAATCTTATGGCAGTATTTATTAATTGTAATCATTATTGGCCCAGTCTTTGGGTATTATTCTGAAATTTAAAATTATTTGATACTGTAATCCTGTTTCACCAAAATTATGCTTAAAAATAGTTTATAAGAAAGTATGAAATCTCTTGACTTGTTAAAAGGGCCTTTTAAGTTTACTACTTGGGTGAAATTATTTTGAAAGTGTATGTGAATACTTAATTTTTATTTCATATATGTACTGCATTATGCAGTATGAGATCAGGAAATATCTTATGTAGGTATTGTCTTTTTGGTAATATTTTGTATGTATTGTATAGAATTTTTACAATATATATATCACCTGTACATAATTCCGTCCCTAGTGTTGTTTCAGACCGTATGTATGGATTGTTCGTTCCCTTTTGTTTGCACATTCCTACCCTTTGATATCCATATGACCCTCATCCAGTGTTTACCGTTGTTGCAAGTTATGGCTAAATAACATATTCTTGTCCATTGGGAAACTTAAGAGCATAGAAGGCTGGTGCAGTGAAATGATTGGCTTGTAGTGGTTAGGGAGTAAATCAGCTATCATTCAGACTGGGAAGAAAGAATTGCCACCTTTCCATTTATTTTGGCATTTTTTATGTCAACTTTAATGGATTCTCCTTGTTTTGGGGCTAAAACCTCTGAGGCAGATCATACTATATTTGTTTCTGAATTCTGAAAGTGAGATCGTTTTCATTTTATTTGTTTTTTAACTGGGTTAATGGTTTTAGTGATTCTTGATCGAGTCTGCTTTGCTTCAGAAATGCTTTCCTTTAAATCCAATATTGGTGAAATTGCTGGTATTATGTCTTTCATATAAGAAATAGGGATTATGAAACGTCCGAACCAGTAAGATGCTGTTAAGGTTTCCACATTGATATACTGTACAGGTATTATGTTTTATATAATTTTTTATTTCATTCTAGAAAATAATAGGTTCCACTATACACTGCATATTAAAGAAAATTTTGGCACAGTTTGGGCAAGAAGTGAAGCTTAGAGTAGGGAGAGGTGACCTGACGTGGCTCTTTCCATTGCAGCGGGGCCTGGGGAGGCTACAGGGAACGGTATGTGGGCTCTGCGGCCGGACGCTCAGCTCAGCATCGAGTCTGGAGCGTCACCTTCGCTATCACCGTGGAGAACGACGTCATGCCTGCCCCATTTGTCCTTATCGTGCCGTGGCTAGAGATAAGCTCGTCCGTCATCTTCACACGCACACGGGACATAGACCACATCGGTGCCATCTCTGTCCATTTGCTGCCATTCAGGCCACTGATCTGCGTAAACATGTCCGCAGCAAGCATGCCACTGAGATAATACCATTGCCCTGAAAATGATCCAGGATTTCAGATGTGATCCGTGACTATACTTGCTATTGGAGGCCCATCTCTGGTTCGTTAGAGATCTGTAGTGGACGAAATTTCACAAAATAAATTCTAATTCAGATAAAAGTTATTCAAGGTGAAATCATTATATTGTATTCAAATTGGTCTACAGGATGGATTCTAATAACCAACAGTAAGATGAATTACTACAGTGGCCATATCTGGTGCTGATTCATCATTGATTTTGTCATTAACTCTTAGCAAGTGTAGTGCGACTGTGGACTTTGTCCAAGGTTATGCAGATATACAGTACTTGCTTATATCTGGAAAAACTGGGGAAGCACGGAAAACCCTACGATGTAATATTCTGAGATGCTTTGATAATATTACATAGTGAAAGCTGCTGTTGCATAGCAGTGTTCATGTCTCAAGTGAAGTTGTGGGCAAGGTTCATGTGAAGGTTCAATTCTCAATTTTTTTTTCCATCACTGCCCTGTGTGTTTTTCTTACACCTCTACAAAAGTGAGTTTCCACAGTTTTTCCTAAGTCCTACAACACCCAGTCTGTTATTCCTTACAACTCTTCCTCCCTTTGTGTGTGTTCTTAGTGCTACTTATCTTTGAATCCACAGACATATTGGTCCTGGTTCTTACTCAAGCATCCTCTCCTTAATATTTTCAGCACTTCATTTAGTCCAACTGCACTCTTGTTTTACATGTGCCATATCTGAACCACCAATTTTCCTCGGCTGATGCGTTTATAATTTTTTCTCCCACATCAACTTCCAATTACCTCGGCTGAACCTTTGCCTCTACAGCCCTCCCTCCGACATATCACAAAGGGATCTTACCACTAACACCCACCTCCCGCCGGCCAGGGCCAGTAGCACTGCAACTCACGACGCGTTTTCTGTTTCCTTTGCAGTTGCAAGGCCCAGACCTGGCGCGGCGGGCGTGGGAAACTCTCTCGGAAAGCCTTGTCGCTCGTTTGACCAGCTCTGCACCTCCACCACGGCCACCCCACCGACTGGGGGGGTCCCAACTCCATAGTGGGGGGACTCCAATCACTTCTGATCGTCCCCACTTGTGCCCTCTGTGTCCATACCGTGCCACCACACGTGATAGCCTAGCTAGACATATCCGTACTCACACTGGTGAAAGACCTTTCAAGTGCTCATATTGTCCCTACAGAGCGATACAAAAATCGGATGTAGATAAACATATCCGACGTCGACACAAGGATGCCGTGTCAAATTGGCCTGGAGTTACTCCTGCTTGTGTGTCTAATGTTCTTTCTAATGTATCAAATCTCACATACACCCAACCAACCAACACTGCCTGGCAAAGTACACATGTCCGCCAGAGTGCAACTTCCAGTGTCTTGACTGAACCCACATCAGCATATACCAGTCCACCTAATAATGACATCTAGTTGTCAGCCTTGCAGACTTGTGGAGAAATGTATCCTGATACCGACCTAACATTGTATGTATATTGAACTCATAAATTAATATTTTGAATGAAATGAATGTTTCCCTAAAGATACTGTAATTTAATTGTATTTTACTGTACTACTTACAGTAATACAGTACAAAATTACCAAGATGTAAAAGTGGCTACTGTATTTTACTTAGCTATGAATATGGTAGGTTTAATGAAATATGCTTAAACTATCTTTCATATATATATATATATATATATATATATATATATATATATATATATATATTAGAACCTGTTTTGAATATTCAGGATCTGTTATTGACTTTTTCTAACTAAGAAGTAATTTGGGCTTTGACAGTTTACTCCTGCAGTCCTCAGTTCATCTTGACATGGCTGTGGCAGCAGTACACCTGGCAAATTACATTTATATGGGGCTTCATGATGGCAAGCTGTTAACAATGCAGTGGTTCTGACTTTGTTCACCTCTTTTTAAAACCAAATTGGTGCTGAGATTGCATTAACAGTGGATGTTGGAAGCTCAGTGTGTCAGCAAAATTAATTTTCTCCTGAGTAAAATGCTATTGTGAAAATTTCATATGGTAAAACATTTGCACTGAGCAATACACAAGCTTTTGATGTTTAAACCAAGAGCTGTTTAGATTTGGAAATTTTTTCAATATTTAATTCCTGGCAAGTTCATTTAAGGACATAGTTTTGATTTAGTTTCTGCTTGAGTTTTCACTTTGAAACAAATTATATGACATCTGAGAAAACTTGGTATAGCAACCACTGCATCCTGTAAATGTTTAAAATTTCTTGGTATGAAAGACGTGTGAAGTAAGATTGTACTTTAATACATGTTTTCTAAGTATCATACAATACTGTACTCCATTGAGAAGTGACAAATATTATTACAT